GATACTACTGATATTAAAAAAGTATCGATACATTTCTTTCGATACAAGTACTTTTTGTATCTATCAATACTTTACTTGTATCGATAAAAAAATACTGGTATCGAATGTATAGCATTAAGTCATTTATTAACCGCAATAATGGTTCAAAAATCAAAAGTACTCGAATGGTCGAATGGTATCAAAGAATAATTTTTTTCTAGAAAAATTAGTTGCGCGCATGGTAGAGAATTTGTTTATAAAATTCGGTCATCATATTAAAGTCTATACTTTCTACGACTGTATTTGTTATTTCCATGAACCAGAAACTACAGTCCACAATACAATAGTGTCAATAGGTTTATAATAAACCTTTTTATCATAAATTATGTATACTGAGTTCATTTTTAGCCATGGAAATAGTAAAAAGTATTGCACAAAATATACAATATGTTTAGATTTACTGATTTATATACCGATTAGATGAAATATAAATTACAAATAATGATATAGGTACCTGGTGGAAACAATTAAAAATTTGTTTATATACAGCATTTTTATCTGTGGTTTATGAACCATAACTAGTTTTAGTTAAATATTAGTAAAATGGCATATTTTAAAATATACTAACATTTTGAATTCATTCTTAACTTGGAGAAAGAAAACTTTAAAATATAAAAATAATTTTTCATTTGATACTTATTCATATAGGTCGTTTTCATATTTTATTGTTATCAATATTTTAATTATATTTGTTACGATGATAGGACTAAGTAAAAGGATCAATATTTTTTTTCGATACTCATACCGGTCGTTACGTTTCGTTATTTTCATTCCATTCGTTACCAAGTGAAAGTATCGATACTTTTCTTTCGATATCATGTCTCTACCTGTAAAACCATAGATAATAATTAGATACTTCTTTGACTGTAGAAAATAATTTTTTTATAGATAATACATTACATGCTTTTATTAAAGTTAGATTTAGGCGGTGCGATGCACAATGAGTGTATATTGCCTTTGGTTGCAAATTTAAGATTCTAGCTTGAACTCCGTGGTATTTACCAGACATATTTGTTCCACCATCACATCCCTGCCCTCGTAAAAATTCCAAACTTAAACCTATTTCTTTTAATTTTTGGACGATTGTATTTGCTAAATTTTTACCAGTACATTCATAAACCGGAACAAAGCAAATAAAATTTACTTTTATTAAGCATGATTTTAAATCAACATATCTAATCGATAAACTCATTTGCTCAATGTGTGATAAATAAGAAGTTTCATCACATAAAATTGAAAAAAATTTACATTCATTCACCTCTTTTATTAATTTGTCTGTGATAATCAAGCCACATATATCGATCAAATTATTTTGAATAGTTTTACTAACAAATGTTGCATTTTTTTGGAGCCGATTCTAAGTAATTGCGAAAATCTACATCGCCCGCGTCTATTCTAAACATCAACAATTCTTTGAATATTCCAATATTAAAATTATTTTTTGCTTGGTCATTAGAAATCAGATTTGATAAATTAACATCGTCTCTATGCCTCTTTATAGATATATTATGACGACCACAGAAAATAATTGTTTTAATTATAGGAATTAACTTCTTTTTATTTGACAGTTTCATTTAGTTGGTCATCAAGTTGAATTTCTATTGTTTTTTGTTTGCCTTCAAAACATTTTATAAATTCTAAAGATCACACAATTGCTGTTTTATGATATTCTCTTTCCATATGTATCTTAAAATCATGTAAAACATCTTTGTATTTTATCATAGGAATTTATTTTAAGACCCCAAGCCTTTGTCCTCCAATCCCACCAAACTTAGGTCCAAAAAGTACACATACTTTACAAAACGCTCCTTCTCTATTACGACTATAAGCTAACCAGTTATGCTTATTTAGCCATTCAATTTAGAAGCTTCTTTTATGACCTTTTTTATTCATACTTACAGAGTAAATATAATTTTGTTTAGGTGACCACGTTTCTTTAAAAAATATTTGTAAAGCATATTTGGATCGTTTCGAATTTTTAGATTTGCATTTTCTTCAATAGCAAATGCGATATCATATTGACTGTTAGAATCGACTTCAGACGAATCAGAAAATGTAGCTGGCTCTGACTCTGTTGGTAACACGCTTACATTTTCTATACCTTCACTTGGAGATGGATTATTTTCGTCACTTGTTTTCAACTTTTTAAAAAAAAAGTTTATTTCACTTTGTCGTTTTTGTGACATTTTAAAACAGAATAATTGAACACGAAACTACAAACGAAAACACTACGGACAACAGCAGTACAGGCGAGTACATCACGTAATACGAATTACACACGAGTGACACGACGACTGTAAAATTACTAACATTTTAAAACGATAATAGCAATATAGAAATGGATTAGTGAGAATCGTCTTACAAATAATATAAGATAAGATAGCGATGGCCAGTAGGAACGATACATGGCAAAAATAGCCGATCTGCCGTCTGCGTTAAGGCAAAATGCCTTTATACCCGCATAATAAAAGTAATAGTAATATGTTTGGGAGAATTTCTAATATAATGATAATATAATAATAGTATAAAATATATGTAATGATAATATTTCTTAAGTTATAATATAATGTATTTGAGCGAAACAATATAAAAGATAAAATTATAAAAATTAATAATAAAAAATAATAAAACTTAACTTATGCCAATGGGAGGGGGCCGAGGCCCTTCGGGCCCCCCTTAAATCCGCCACTGAATACTCACAAATGAAATGATACGTTGCCTGTATTATCTTTAGAGGATACATGAAAAACAATGCAAGTTCGAACCATAGCTTGAAGACAAATGATAATTCGTACAGAATCGGGAATACTTCAATTTGTAAAAATGTTAAATAATTTTAAAATAAAATGCGTTAACAATAAAAATATTTGTTATCATCATAGATATCTTCTATTATCATTATGAAATAAAACTAATGATAAAACCCCTTGCTAAAGTGAGTGCACTATATAAAAGCAGTCTATCTCTCATCAACATTCCGGACCGCGACCCCTTGTATTGTTAATATATGATTGGCCTATCCATTCTTCTATTATCTATGGTAGAAACAATGATACAACGAGCAACTAGAAATAGTATCACGGTGTTTGCTATGATATTCCATTAATTCAAAATCGTCAACTACGATAGGGACGATTAGTTAGTGATAGGTACTTAGATAATCTATTCAGCGAATGAAAACATAGTGCATTTTTTAAACCAGTTAACTAGATCAGCGGTTCCCAATTAGTATGAAGCCACGGACCCCTAGCTATAACTTAAATTGGTCCACGGATCCCTTTTTTGTAAATACTTACTCTTCTATTTTATTTAATTATGAAAATGAGAAATAAATAGGTACGATTTATTTTCAATATGATTTAATTTTTAATTTTGTAAACATTTTCGTAATATAGTACAAATTTTCTCAAAAAAAAAAAAAAAAATAATAATAATATATTTATAAAAAAAATTATTTGATTAACCACCTTCAAACTTTATGAGACAAGTGAAATCTTTCTTTTTTGTTCATAATTTCGTCTAAGTCCGGCTGCATGCTTGAAATTTTAACTCTTAAATCAGCGTCAATATTAAGTCTATTACGAAATTTGTTTTTCATGTAACAGTAGGTAGAAAAAGCTTGTTCACATCTATGTTGTGCAAAAGGGGATCAAATGTCTTAAAGCTTTCTCAGCCAGTTGCTTTTGATCATTTTGAACAATTAACCAAAAATGAATTAGTTTTTTTATCGTTGAAAATATTTTTCATCGTTCCATTTGTTACCAAATCAATTAATTCATCTTGTTCCTGTTCAGAGAGATTTTCTATTTTTTCAATATCACAGGAAAATGGATTTCTTATCCATGTATTATTTGGGTCAGGTTGATGAAAATATTTTCTTAATATTTTGGCCATGCTCAACAAGTGTTCAGATATTTCACTCTTTACCTCCTGTGATAGACATTCACACGAAGATTCCAAAAAAGCTTGTAATGTCGGAAAGTTACTGAAAGAGTTATTTTCAACACGTATTGCCCAAATTTCAAACTTTTTAATAGTTGCTTCGATTTTATCCTCAACGTGAAAAACATCAACATAAATTCCTTGTAAACTCAAATTTAGTGTATTCAAGTATTTGAACACATCAGCCAAGTAAGCTATGTATAAAAAAGGACACACGGCACTAATTGCTGACCAGTAATGACTGAGATTACTAACTAATACTAATGTTGATCATTTACTTTAAATTATATGTCCAAAATATATTTTATTGGTTAATGGAAAGAAAATAATCAGTATGGTTTCACGTTTTAAATTATAGTAATAATAGTGTAATATTGAAGATAATAATGATATTTATTTCTATGAAATTGATTATCTATTTTTTTTCGCAATAATCGGGTTTCAATAGTCCAAAAATACTTGGAATATCATATTACTACAAAGATAATAATTTCACTAAAATAAAATAAAAATAGCACTACAGAACAACACAACCGTGGACCCCCTAAAATCAACACGCGGACCCCTGGGGGTCCACGGACCACCAATTGGGTACCGCTGAACTAGATAACACAAATGTCACCCAGTGATTTTATCGCTTAGTTGATAGTATATTGAAAGAATGGAAGAAACTATGCGGAACGAAAGTGAAATACTACCATCATATTATTATACATTTTGAGAAAAAAATTGTTTTTCGTTCAGTGAAAATTCCTTAAAAAATGCTCTGTAAACAGAAATAGATGGCTGATTAATTTGACCATTGATTATGGAATAGTCTATTTACTCGTTTGAGTAATCTGGCATACCATTGATTGTTACGGATTAAAAATTCGATGTGATAATAGATAAATCTTAAATTAAAATTTCATTTGAATCAGTCAAGAGTTAATGACCAAATAGAAATGAAAAATAAATCATATAGTGTTTTGTCTTTATAACTGAATCTACGAGTACAGTAAATCGAGTATTCCAAAATTAGTGTTTGGTTTGAATGATACGTTGTACAAGTTCATATTTCTATCAAGAATGTTATGAATAAACCAAACAGGTGAAATGTATAATAATAGTTTAACTAAAGATCGTTTTGAAATGGAAATTTAAGCGAGGAGGAATAAAAATGATCATATATAGGTACAACAGATCATTGTATTTTATAGGTGGATGTTTTGAATTATTAAAAAAAATAATATTTACGTTTGAATTGTATTTACATGTTACTTTTTGGCGGTACGTTTCACCGACATCACTGCTGAATTTAAGTAATCTATGTCCAATGTTACTCGTCTTTTTTAATTAACGTTTATTAATTTTTTTCATTATTTATTTCAACTACACTTTTTATCATTTTAAAAATAAAACTAAAATTATATTTTATTCTAATTTTGTACTTGAATATCGGAACAGTGTATTGGTTTTTTTTTTTTGGCAGTAAACAGTTGTAATCAAGAAGTCGATCCAAAATTAAATGTACCACAGGTACATCCTTTTTATTAAAAATAAAAACTATAAGTATAATGAAATCAATTAAATTTATAACTTAGATTGTTTCAATATATTTTAACTAATACATTTTTATAGCTAGCAATATTAAAGTAGCCTTGGTTATGTAAATTTTATTTTAAAATAATTTAAGTCATTCAGACTTTCATTAAATTCTCTTTTTTTTTCAATATTCAACGTTTTAATTTCGATTATATTTATGCTTATTTTAGTAAATAAGTAGACAGTTTTTAAACTATGATGTTTATGATATGATTTGATGAAATCATTATTATATTAATTATATATTTATAAATATACATTTAATAAAATAAAGAATATTACTGTATTTTCAGATTTTGAGCATATGTTGCAGTAAAAAACATTAAATTCATATTAACGTTATTATCCGGTAATTAGCAATAATAGGTTAATAGGTTTTTAACGTTATTTACTTAGAATGCACGTTAATTTCAAACAGTATAGATAAGTTAATGATGTTAATTATAATTCAAGTAGAATTGTACGTTAATTATTGTATATTTGATAATTAATGAAAAAAAAAGAAAAATATTAAATTTTATAAATGATAATTAGGGAACGGATTTATATGTAAATGCATATTTTTATTAAAACGAGATATTTAAGATTCGATAAGAAATGTTTATAATTTAAATCATTCCTATTAAAATGATGATACTTTTATTTTACATATTTTTTACATATTTCACTAATTTGTAAATATTTTTAAACATATTTTTATTATTTCATCATTCATACGTCTTCTTCGTACGAAAATACAAGAAATTATTTCAAAATTAGATCCAGAAACTTCTATCATTATTGGAAAAGCTCAAAATATTATGCAAAATGAAACATTGAAAATAGTTTAATTTTAATTAAAAATAATTTAAAAAAATTACTAATAAAAAAATATGTGCCCAAATGATAGTATGGAAATTGTTGAATCAGCGATTAAAATTCGTAAGCGGACCAATAGATGTTGTAAAAATGAAAATTCATGCTGTTGCAGAAAAAATTTCAGGCTATATTGATTTTAAAATAATCAATGACATAATGAGTGCAGACGCTCTTCTAAAAATTTGGAATTATCGCTTTAAAGCGATATATAACTATATATATAACTATCAGAATTCTGATAGTATGCGCTTGAAATATGCTTTTAATATATCGGTTGATGTGAAACAATAATTTAGCTGTTTTAAAAATATTTTGATACCTAATAGGCGACATTTAACATTTGATAATTTAAAAGATATTGTAATAATTCAATGCAACAAATCATTTTGATAATTTAATAATAATAATCACTTTTTTCCCCACATATTTGGATGTTTTTAGCACATATTTTATAAATTATACTTGCATATATATGTAAATATTTCTGTATTTTTATTATATATA